TGGGGCAGAGCTGTGGGTGCAGAGCTGTGGGGCAGAGCTGTGGGGCAGGGCAGGGCCAGGGGACCCTCCCGCGTTCCCAGCCCGTGTCTGGAGGGGATTGTTCCTGCCCAGGTCTCCGCTGCGCCTTCCGTCGCCCACGTGGCTGAGCCGGGGAGCTCCGGAGCTTTGTTCAGGGCGTTATTTCCCTCGTTCAGCTCCTCGCTTTCACTGACAGAGCTGCAGATATGTTTGTCTGCGTGCTACTCCGTCCTCTGATCACAAATAATTTTGCTGTTAGTGCTTGTCACTTGTTAAAAATCCACAGGATTTTTGGATCGCGGATACATAAATTTATCTGTGATACACAATTTCTACCCAAAGCATTCATTGTCTGCAAAAGCATTTAATAATAATTCTGAATATGTTCTAAATGTATGTCTAAATGTATGTCTAAAATAATATGTTCTGAAAACATATTTTCTCAGAGAAATTATACAGTTGTAATCTTATGAGGCTCTATAAAATTACAAATGAATATTATTGTTTGAATGAAGCAGGAATGGCTAAAGGTTTTCTTTCTTTTTTGCAATTTTTTTTATTTGACACTAAATTTTTCTTTAGCCTCAAAAAACTCGATCCTAACTCTGAACAGCAGTCAGCTCACCCACTGTTAGCTTGTCAAGAAGCACCAGTGTATTGATAATATTTAGAATATTTTGATGTGAATTTTTGATAGTTGAAGTGCTACATAGTTTCAGCACTGACAGAATTACTTCTGCCATAGCTGTAGTGCTTTTCTCTCAATTGCATCCAGTCAAATAAATATCATGTTTTTGAGAAACAAAGTATATGAACTTTAATCTGCTCAAAGTTGTCTACATAATCACAAAAGATGATGAAAGAAATATTTTAAAATATTTGAATTATGTGCCTAGAAGACGTGTATTCAGTCTGAAAGTCTAATACTGTAGAGCAGCCACTCTGGTAGGGGTGAAAGGAAACATTAAGAATATAATGGAATGTATAAATGGAAATGGAAGAAAAGGGGAAAAGTATAATTGAGTAAAGGGGAAAGCAGCCTGAAAATGGTGTGGTTTCATTTAGAATGTTTTCTTTCAAAGTACCTCTCTTCAGACAACAAGTCATTTCGTGTCCTGCCCAAACTGTTCACTGTGGAAGGTGAAGGTGTGGGCAGGTGTGGTGGGCATGGTTTGGTTACAGAACTAG